TTGCAAATTCAATAACAATTTCCAATTGTCAATTTCAATTCTCTGTTATAATTGACAATACACAAAAATGCAGCATTCAGCTGACCGGGGTTTGCTGCAATAGTTGACGAAAAGATATCGTGTGCCAATCAATGGAATAAGACCAGTTTAGTGTAGACACATAAAGACAGCAGGTTACCAGGTATGATTAACTTCTAGCTCTCCAAGCGACCACAAGGCATGAGGATGACAGCCGCAATTGCCACAATACCAGCGATCAAGGCGATGGCATGCATACATGTACTGGAGCCTGAAGTTGCCAACACCTTCGACGCTGAGAGTATTGCCTAATTCAGCACTTGCTTTGCTTCCTCACCACTGTATCCGTTCAGGTATCAAAAACGGCATCATCGTTCCAGGGAATGACAGATTGAGCACGCAACTTCCCCAATAAGGTACCGCTGTCAAGCCTATAGTCGACATCGCGCTTGTCGAGCATTGCGCTGAAGACACGCACGAGCTCTGGGATGGGCTCGGTGCGCTTACGAGCAGTGACACAAACTTCCGTGCGATAGTAGTGGGCATCGATGTGGCCTTCAAGCTCCACGCACCTAAAACTACGAGCTTCATTAGACAGACCACGCATTAGAATATGATCAGACTCCGCAAGCTCGAAAAGCAGCCACTAACACAGCGATGAGATGAGCATCGACTCCAAAGTACCCGCCGTCCATCGAGAGTGTAGCAAGTCACGCAATGCTGGTCTCCATGTCGTCATGAATCGATGCATCCCGATAATTTGTTGAGACATCGATGACAAGTCGCTGGATATTCCACACCACGCGCAATTAGTGTCGAGTTGCCGTCTTGCGTCCCACCGGGTACATGTAGTGTGCAGTATAAGCTCTTAGGGTCTTGTTGCAAGAGGGGTCGCGAGAGCATCCTAGAAAAAAGAGCTCGAGCTCTTCACTTTTGTTTTTATTATACTTCGAAGTGATAACTTCATTGAGCTTGAATCATTCTGGCTCATTCATCATTCGTACCTCGGAACCGTTAAGCGAACGTCGTAACTTATGACGTATTCTTTATCAAGACGTTTGTAAAGTCGTGGACTATCCACATGAGGCTAGGTATATAGATTTGTACAGGTGAAATTTAGGCTTAGTCGTAAGATTAACAACTTTCTTTTCTACAGTGGAGTTTAAAGTCGTAACTTCGGGAATTACTTTTACGTTCACAGAGCGACCGAAAGCAGACACATGAATGAACTTGCGAGACAGAAAAACACGCTCCATCACACTACTATTTTTCGTTACGTCACAAAAAATATGTTAGTACAGGAAAATAGTACTAGTAGGATGAATGAGAGTGATACTTACCGACGGACACCTAACGTTGTAGTCTCACGGAAAATCGCGTTTCAAATCTCCCGCTCGTGTTCAGCGCGGCATAAAACACTGAGGAAGTGCTCAATACATAACATTAGTCAACGTGAGAGTGATATAGAATAATTTTACGTTCGTACCTGAGGCAAACGCCGGGTCGGTTCTTCTTCATCTGAATGGGTTGTTTCCAAACGTCAAGTGCGTGATGCTCCGACAGCAGTCGCTCCGACAGAAAAGGAAGTACGGAAGATAGTTGGAGTCTGAATCCAATCATTTCAGAAATTAGGAGACAAAAGTTCAAGGAAGTTTATTTTATAACAACACTCAAGATTCCTGATCATTGCGTTTCTACAGCTCGAACTCGCTGTCGTCTTCGCTATGCTCCTCAGCATCACCACGGAGCTCGTCGTCCGCTTCGCTCTCTTCTTCACGAAGCAGCTCACGCCGTGTTTTCTTGCGCACACCTGTTTTCTTTCCAGGGCGCCGGAGGACAACGCGCTTGCCCAACGTAGGTGGGATGGCGAACCCGCACTCAAAATCATCGTGCCATATCTGGAAGCAAGTCTTCATTGTACCTCTGTACTCACGTCTTGCTTTTGGACATAGGTAGCACTTGGCGTCGTCTATGGAGCAGTTCTCACAGTAGAAGGTCGTCTGAAACGACTTCTTTCGATCACCGCGGAGCAAAGCGCATACTTTGCAAGATCGCTGGCGCCGTTTTTGAACTCGTCATACTGTAACCCAGTCGTCGAACTGGATTAGGGAATGACTAACGCGTTTCCGTCTGCGCTTCTTGCTTCCGGGTGACGGTGTGACCGCCACTCCTGCAAAATCATGTTCTTTCAGCTAAGGTAGCTGGCTGTGGAGCACAGCGTACCATTCACCACGCTTCATCGCCGGTGTGTTCGCCAATTTACACGCAGCCTTGTGTGAGATGTAGGAATTCACCATGACCAAATCAATGAGACCTAAGAATAGGCTCTTGTAATATTTTGCAAAACGAACCGACGTCTGGATCGAAAAGGCTTGGAGGCGGAGCTGGTCATGCACGTCCACTCCGCCCATCCATTCTTGGTAATCGTTGACTGCCCTTGGACACGCCACCGTCGTTGACCCTTCTCCTTTCACGTTGCGGTTGATGGTGGATGCTGTCATCACTGACCCTGTACACAGGTAGTGGACCGGTTTACGATCACACCAGTGGAAGGCGATCAAGTTTGGCACAGTCAGCGAGCGTGAAAACGTGAACGAGCCCCGCGGGATATTTCTTGGCCGGGTCTTTCGTCGCTCGATAACGTTGCGGTCATACCCGAGTCGCCTAGTCATTATCGTCCCCACGACGTACACGTGCATCGATAGCAGCTCAATAGCTAACGGGATTGATGAATAATATCGGTCTATCGTGACTGCGTGAAAGGCTTGGCGACCGTTTGCGAGCACGACCTTGAGGTTGCGAATTACTGCTGCAGCTCCCGTCTTGTGCTTAAATGCGTCGGCCTGATCTTCGCGAGCTTTCATTTTACCAACGTAAATTTCGAATATATATAGTTACGACAAAGCAGAACGAGGTCAACCTTAAAGTCGTAAGTTACATCATTGAAAATGCAACATCAAAAAATAGTTTCACCTGTGGCAGTACGCCATCTTGCTGTCACACGTCATAAACATTTTGGAGCCGTATCTGTGCGGCTTGTCCGGCATGAACATCCTGGTGGTGTTTCGTCGAGAGGTCGCTAGCAGAACGCCCTCGTCGAATGAAAAAAACTGCAGGCAGCGTCCAACCGGCCAGGAAACGCTCTTGTAACTTCTCGACAACCGGACGAAGCTTCCTCAACTTGTCACGAGTCTGATCGCTTTCGTTATCAACGAAATGCAAGTCTCGAAGAATGTCTTGGCATCTATTCCGTGCCATATATCTGCCGAAGGTCCCGGCGGGAACGGCACCGTCTTCTGTCATGGACCAGTGCTGCGCAAATCGCCGTTGTGGAGGGCACAGCATATGGGCTACCAGCAGACCCATCACATGGAGAAGCTCATGCGTTCCGTAATCTGGCTTCATTCGGAGCCGACGTCGTATTTGCTTCACCGATTCCGTTGGCGTCCCTCGTCGCTCGGTCTGCTTCGCGCGCATCCGCTCGGCTCTGGGGAGGATCTGCTGCGAGCAGTAACGGTTCGTTTCTTCGCAAATTGACCCACATAGACTTCGGTGCAAAGGAAAAGAAGGTTTCGATGGGTGAATTGCAGAGCTTCCGTAGGTCAGCAACTGGTTGTGCTACTTCACCGGTAAGACCCGGGTATGCGTTTGCGAATTCGAAGTTCGATGAAGGTGGCGTCCAACGCATTGCCCGGAGAGCTTTTCTTCTTGCGAGGGCTTCTCGGTTTAGTCCTTCATCGTCTCCTAGTCTAAGCGAGGCCAGAAATGCTTCGTTGAGCTCAGGTGCATCCGTATCCGAGATGACATCGTCATCTTCATCTATTCCTTGGAGATCCAGAGGATCATCATCATTGTCTGCTATTGCATCACCGTCGCTTTCTCCCGAGCTCAGCTGCTCGTAATCATTTGGGCTCTCGTTCTTCTCCATAAAGTTTACATCATGCTTGAGCTGGCGTCGCGGGCGAAGTTGCCTGGTTATAGGCACATCTAGCTCCAAACTTTCAGCTCCCGAAGCGCCTGACAAGTGCTGCAATTGACTTGCCCCTTCCAGTACATCCGGCTCGGAAACATCTCCCTGAAGGCCAGCTTGCGGAAAGTCAAATGCACGAGCTATAGCTCCCTGTGATAGCGCCACTTCACTCGGTGCTAGGGATCCAAACAATGCATCCATTGTGTGTTGGGAGAGCTCCACGTTGGTGTTGATCTGGGACGCCCGCACCAAACTCTCGTCCTGCACTGCATCTTCACGGGCTTGCCCTTCACATTGATCCCCAACCTCTTCCTCACTATGGCTCTGGTTCTCGTGGCTCTCATCGTTTGCAGCCGCTTCCTCCTGCAACGATCATCAGTCTTAGTCTTACATTCTACTCAGTATCGCAAATGAACAGCTCACCTCAGTTACCAAAAATCCAGCCTCAATGACATGCGCCACTACGGCAGCCTCACCAACGAAGAAGTCGACTCCAACCGTGCCATCTGCCGAGCTACCAGGCTTCATGTAGGTCCAGTCGGTCTCGAGGCCCTTGGGACGTCTGGAACTCCATCCCACCTCTCGTAGCTGCCTCCAGAGATGTCGAAAGTCGACGTCGTGTTGAGTAACGGCGGGTTTCTGGAGTCCAGTGGATCTGATGCGTGCCATCGAGGAAATTCTGGAATGATGAATGCATCCGCTGCGAGTCGGACCCCACGCCTTTACATTACCTAGCCCTGTCCGATTTCTGCAATTGCCCGTGTGACCTCCAGCAGATTATTCTTTGGGCAAGAAAAAAGTAACTTCATTAAAGTATTGGATTTCTTTTTCCGAGCCATTTTTTATTGCTCGAAGATTTTTCGTCGTAACTTACGACGTACGATTTCGTAAAGCCGTAAGTTATGACGTTGGGATCCAAGGGGTTAAGAGTGCTGACAGTTTAAAGTGGGTCTTGCAGTTTAAAAGTGTTTCTTACCGTTTACGAGCAGGATAGTTTGTGTTTCGGCTTCAACTACTTCTTGCCCTTCTTACCAGCCTTGGTGGGCTCATCAATGACGATGATCTGGTCTTCATGCACATCAAACTTCCCTGGCAGCGCCTCCAACAACTCAGTCACACAATCGCCCTGCGGTTGGATCTGTTGCTGGCCCTGGTCCGTCTTGGGCAGTGACAAGCTACAGGCGAACTTTTTGCCCATGCTCTTAGAGGCGTCTTTGATGTTAACGCCTTTTAAGTCCTCGCGACCCCTGACGAAGGTGAGACGCTTGCGGCCCTTACGCGAACTCTTGGAGATGGTCACCATACCGCTCTCCTTCCGTTTCGCTGCCTCCTCAACCTTGTTAAATTTTTTTATTAACGCTTCCACTTCGTAGGTAATGCCTTCCACACCGTCAGCAATCTGCTCAGCAACTCAACGACCGTACGATTATACTTGGTAGGCATCAGATCGGGACAGGTCTCGGCCAGCCACGGCTTGCACTCGTTAAACATGGTGCCGTATTCGCAGTACTCGGGCGGGACCGTGCCAATGAGGCAGTAGACCACGTGACGCATCTTCGGCTGACCGTCGTCCTCCTCTTCCTCGCTCTCATCATCGTCGTTATCGTTCTCCTCGGCAGAGTCGCCTGGTTCCGGCCGTACTTCTTGACTAGTGCGTCGAAAAACTAAGACTTAATGCCATTGTACTTGGCCAGCACCTGCGCCACATCTCCAGCCTTCTCGGGGTTGTACTTCTGATAGAAAGCCAACAGTCTCTGGAAGTCAAAGTCCGTTGTAATCTCCGAATCGAGAGGTGTAGGGGCCACCTCTGTCTCCTCCTTGGAATGAGCAGCTGTGTCGAACGTCTCATCATCGGTGGGCTTCGGGCCGTACTTCTCTTCACCAGCGCCGATAACAACTTCGTCTCGCGTCCTTTGAAACGCTCAGCACGCTCATTCTATCAGAAGTACAGGTTGCACTTGTACTTCTTATAGAAGCGTGTGAGGCGCTCGCGGTGCGGCGACATGATCTTCCTGCTTTGCCACTACCGTAGTTCGCTGACCACAGACTACCTCGCAAATTAGATCAAGAGAAACAGCGCTTAATACCTATGCTAGCGTTGGTAGTTTGGGATTGATATGTTCCTGGCTATGGAACTAGTTCGTCAATGATAAATCAAATTTGAATTGATCATTTAGTGGAAGTTCCATTTTCAATTTGAAGTCAATTCATTCGGTGCGTGGGCCACACTGGGCAAGGTTTTCTTCTGCCAGTACGAGAAAGAACAACATTATACATGACCGTAGCAAACACCAAGAAAAAAGACCACGAAGACGTGCTTGCGCGACTGGTGCGTGACCTAGAGTCGAAGAAGACTCTGTGTCGTGTTAAGGACTACCCTGGTGTGTCCCTCGAGCAGCTAAACCAGCACGTGAAGAAGATCGGTCTGTGGTCCATCCAACACTTGGCGAGCAGCCTGGCTTCTTCGTCGACGAAGGCCGATTTGTTCCATTTCGACTGGTGGTGTTCGGATGCAGCGTGATCTCACCGTACATCTGCAAGGTGCTGCTGAATTGGGCTGCGTGGAGTGGCCATGGTGGAAGAGTGACAAATGCGCAAGGTGAATACGTGCTGGATGGCACAGCGCTTCGGGTACCCTATGTGGCGTATGTGCCTCGAGGTGAAGCAAGGCAACTGACCGAAACGCAACGATGGACTCGTGGTGGAGAGCCTTTTGTTCCGACGCTCGTGGTGGAAATTGACACTCTTACTGGCCCATATTCCAAACTTGATGCTCTCGATCACAAGATGCGGCGCGAGTACTTTCCTCACGGGGTGCAATTGGGATGGCTCATTGATTTAAAGAACAAAATTATGCACGAATACAAGCGGGACACCCGAGGAGATCGGCTTGTTCGACGCGTCGGCAATAGCGCGTGGAGAGATCTTGATGGTGGTACCGTTCTTCCTGGCTTCACCCTTTCTTGCGAAGATTTGGACGATGTGTTGGACCAGGAATCCGGATCGTCATCGGAAGAAGAAGTGGATTGGACTTGTTCAGTGCACGGATGCACAGAGCGATTCAACAGACGTGGTGCGTTTACTGCTCATGCTGAATGGCATCGTGTTGAAAATGCTAGAGCTCGACGTAGAGCAACCCATGCGAACCATTAATTTAAGTGTAGTTTTTCACGTTAGTACACGCTTTTTGATATGTTAACATCGATGTGACAATCCAGCGATTTCGTATACCCTTTCATTACCGTTTTGTATCGTTTGAGTGTTCAGCAGCCACTTGAAGATTAGTTTTAACAATAATCCACAACAAGCAAGTTCACTTCAAAATCAGCAAAAAAATTGAATACCAACTCAATTTTGTTTGGATTTGAGCTCGCCGCGATAAATAAGATCATCTAACACGGGCAAGGAAGATGAGAGGTATTTTATACACCAGCAGCGAGGCTTGACTTTTGAAAAGGTTAATTATGCAGGATTTGACCCTTCATAAACAAAAAATCGCAATGCACAATTTATTTCGGCTAATGAAACAATTCCATAACTTCCTCCGGTTGATAATGATTGCAGGAAGGCAATATGCCAGGTTAGGAGTTCTATTTCTGCCAAAACGTTTTCTATAAGTGATATCTATTTTCAGATCATATTGAAGGTGTTAAATGGATGAAGAATCAAAAGCAGTGCCTTGCCACGGCCAGCAGCTTTAAGTAATGCAATTGCTGTCTCGTGTAGATCCCTGTTACACGACAAGCTAACAGGCAACATCTTGGCTCGCCGGAGTTTTGCCTTCCCCGTGTGTGGTAACCTGTACAAGTTACCTCCCTTCTGTCGCAGGAGTTCCAGCATGCATGCCTGTAAGGACAGGGAAATGTTATCCACTGTGTCGGTCTTCATGGCTCGATACGCCTCCTCCACCGACGCAATCAGGGCTGCGATACCCTTTCTTGGTACACGATGCTGAAGGCTCTGCATTGACGCGAATACCCCCAAGTCGAGACAATTTAGATCCGGCGAATTAGGAGCTTGACACCAATTCCTGATGTTCCAGCCTCCTTCGGTTCCCGCCGCAATGATGTCCGGGACGGACGGTGGGACATGGGGCTTCGCGTTATCCTGTTGAACAAAGATAATCTGCCCACGGTCCTTTCTTGGCCATTTTTTTCTTAATTGCCGGAAACACTTTAGTCAGCAAGGAGCTCTTGTACGCTGTTCGATCAACCGTTTTGATATTGCTAGTGCAAATGTCACCTTTGGCTCTGTTCTTGCTTCGCCGCTTAGCCGCGTACTGCTCCGTAAAAAACCATATTCCTACTTTCCCATCCCAATGTTGTTTACGATGGGGATCGTACCTAGCCAAAAATATATATTACAAACGGTTATTAAAAATGTAAAAAATAAAATATCAAGATTTACCGTGGGCGGGCCAGAAACATTGTCTTGGGGATAAAGCGCTTGCTCTTCCAGGCCCGCGGGGGGGGGGGGGAGAGTTCTTCGCCGTCGAAGACAAGGTAAGAGTCAGCGTAGAACCATTTCTCGTCAAAGTGAGCAAGATTTGCCATAGGCTCAAAGTGTAGTGTTGTATCGTCGATGAACGACAATGCGTGCTCGACACGCTGTAGCTTATTTTGGCTGGTTAATGCTGGTTTGATGAACGTTGTTTTTTGTGATACGATGCCTTCGCTCACCGCCCGACGTACGAGATATCTGGAGATTCCAGCAGTCTCAACGACGACGCTCAGCCGAACGCTCTTCAACAGGAACGTTTGCAATCTTCTCTCGCACCTCATCGCGGTTTTTCCGCTTCCTACCGCACTTCTTCTTGATCTGGCTGGACCATACACCCCCTACGCCACCTTCGGCGACGGCAACGGCAACGGCAACGGCGTACCGCTTCCAAATACGACTCACAGTGGTGGGTGCACAGCCAAATTTCAGACCAACCTTAACATACACTCCCGAAGGCAAAACGCCGTTGTCACTTAGCTGTAGAACTTCGTCAATGATGGTTTTGCGCTCGATATCTGTTAGATTAGGCTTGGACGTGTTTTGAAGAGGAGGTGGAGAAAACTGCAGTTGTGGCGGGTGTGGCTTCAGATTGCACTTGGTTCTCGCGGCGCAGAACTTGTAATGGTGAAAGCTACATGCATCCAAACCCGTGGCTATGCAAAGAGGGGAGCTGTGGCTTTGGTTTAAGCCAATAAGACGTTGTAAATACGTAGTTTTGACTGTGTTATTGGTCAAAATGTCTGAAACCTGGAATCATTATCAACCAGAGGAAGTATTTATTAGGCCACCGATTTACACTTCGTCGGATAAAATATTGCGGCGTTTTATTTTTATAAATAAAATGTTCGGAGGATTGCACTTACAAAAAATAATCTTAAACGCAAAACAATTTAAAACTTAAGCTTTGACAAGCACAAATTTCCACCAGCCAATTTATTGAAGTCCACTGTAGTCTCGTTGTAAAAGCCGCCTCCAAACTGGCGAAGGTTTCTCAATGCTTCCTTAATGTTCTCGTAAGCTGGGTCTCTCGTTGCCGGCAGGATGCAATTTTTTCGGGAGTAATCCGTCATGTTCACTGACGGCATTTCGCCCTTCATCAATGCCGACCGAGAAAGTCCTATACAGTGCATTATCGACAGTCCTCGAATGCGAAAACCAAAATCATATGCGTCTCGAAGCACTGGTGGCGTCCACAGCCGCGGTTCGGCACCACGAGCCTGCTGTTCGTATTCAAGAGTGCGTTGTGATTCCTTACCTTGATGATCTGGGTGGCCAATTTTGTCGTGGATGTCCTTTTATAATCGTCGTTGGGCGAAATGTTGTTGTCGTCTTTGAGCGCATCTCGTCGACTGCATATGTGCCGACCTCTTCATAACGGATTGGTCCTCCTCCGATGGCGTTCAATATGTGATTTTGGCGTTGCACTTCCCGATTATCCTGCTCGTCCTCCTCATCAGGTGTCCGCATCATTGCCGGCACCTCATCCCAGCCACCGCCTTCTAACCCAACCGTACGTTGGCGTCGCAGTGGTCGTCCGCCTTCATGGACGGACTCCCCGGCAGCACTTTCCGTTTTGCTCTCTTGGCAGGAGCGACGTCCCTAGGATGCACGAACGTACCCGCGCCGAGTTTTTTTTCCTTTTAAGCGCACACTTAAGTATGTGGCGCCGGGGAACGGATATTACGGCGAGCGTGTCTGACCGAATCACAGGTACTATCGCATCGGGCTCGTACTGCACCGTCAAAGGAATTATGACTTTTGCTGCTAGACCCACGCGGCTCTTCGCACACAATGCTCGAACCTCTTCCAGCTTTGCAGGAAATCCCGCCGCGTTCATCACTACCGAGCTGGAGCCGCCCTCTACTTGAAGGACATAGTCAAGCCACTCAACCATTATAACGTTGGCAGGCTTGTGCAGGGCCAACTTGCGCGCACCAGCAACGTAGCGAAGATGGAGGACTGCGTCTGCATCCATATGGTATCCCCCGACTATCGCATAAGCTAATGGGTCCATCTCAATTCCACCCGGCTAGATGAATGCGACAGAATTGCCCACGTCATCGCTGACCCGTCGCTTCTTCACCACATCCAGAGTCAATAGGTTCTAGCGCATCTCCGTCAGTCGGCCCACCAGGGTCCACGATGTTGGCGACAACTTGCGCGCCGTCGACGCGATCTACCCGCACATATTGAGACACACTCATAGATGCCGCGTACGGGACCCCAGGTGCGCCAGAGATCCCTTCGTTATCGCGGACGTGTTCATTATCAGCGCGCGAACGAGAAAAATTGCGAATGAGCGGCACGCTATTCATTACAATGTATTTCTTTAGAGTGGGTTCTCATTGTCGATCGCGTCTTCTGATTTCTGAGAAAGGTGACTTGTCACCCGTAAAACAGATATCCGTGCGGACACCTTGTCGGTGCTAGAAGTATAATACGTCTGCCATGCATTACGGGCTGAAGAGCCGAGCTATACAGCTACAACGCCATGATACCCGTCACGAAGCGTTAGAAGGTAGTTCCTCACGCACGTTGTACTACTGTAGTACTGTAGTATGTTGTAAGTAGGCCATCAGCACTCTTACAGCGATGGTGTCCTGCATCAAACTTGCCGTTTATGTGCTTCAAAACTACCATTAGTAGTGGTATAAATCGTAAGAGCGAGAAAACATCTCGACAGACGCGAAAAAATAATAAAAATCCTTTGTAAACACAGCGCACGTGCGATTAAAGAGAATGATATCCAACTTTGAAGCTGTTATAAACTGCATCAACAGTATATATATGTAATCAAATACTAATTATTTTTTAAAAACGTTGACGGATATTTAAAAAGTCGGGTTGACCTTAGATGATGTCGGGTGATAGGAGCCCACCCCGTCTTCTTCTCCACCCACTCATCCACTTTCTTTAGAATCCCGAGCGAAGTCTCTTAATATTTGGGTAGCTATACCAAATGCCTCATAACTAGATCACTTCCTGGATCGATCTTAGATCGGTTCGTCAAATAGTGACGCTACATTGTTAGCTCTGCATTACATACTTTCGTTAGTGTATCGTTCATGTCGTGTTGGTCATATGGGGTAGCGCTAATGACGGAGTTGCGGTTCCATTTCCGCCGGTCTACTTGCGTAATGGGGTACATTACCCCAAGTGTCCCCTAGTTACATTAAGTGTGACACGTAATACTTCGGAATATCTGGTACAGTGCTGCACCCCGTTTTTGCGCCGTCGGACCTTTGATAAATTGCCGGGTGTAATGATCCTGAATCTAAATAAACAATGATTTGCAAGCTAAAATATGATTTATTGGCAAATCCTATGTGGTCCACCCCCGCGAAAGCGGGGTGCAGTACTGTACATGGTACCAGGGTCGTCCGAGACCAACCATTGGCTGATGACATAGCTTTACTAAAGGTGACTTATAGTTTGTATATTTACCTCGTGCTTAGCCTACCTATAAATATATTCAGTTTACAGCTTACCTTAAATTGGTCACTTTGCTCCCTTAGGCAAAAGGGGACCTGTGAACTTCTATTCACGGAGAGTTTGTATTCTCTCGGAGGCCACCGCAAGGTGCTGTTTGACCTCGTCACGCTTGGTAGCACTTGTAGTCAATTCACGCCAACGCGAGTAGACTACCTGAACCT